GCTGGATTCATCATATCCCTCTCTTGAAGTTCTTAAGGAAGCTTAAGATGTTGACGTAGAACTTCCACATATACTTCAAAAACAATCGTTACATCCTCTTAAGGTATATCATTTATCTAAAATTAGAATTCAAAATTCTAATTTAAATCTTTGGTACGAAGATTCTTCTAAATCGCCAAGAATCTACATACTCAAAAAACTTCGAAAAACCATCTTCGATAAATTTCATTCTATATCTTATATCGGTTTCAAATCAACGCGAAACAACATTAAAAATCGTTTCTTTTGGCCACACTTAACTAAACAAATTAAATTTTGGTGCAAAACGTGTATTGTAAACCTTGTCAAAAATCAAAAGTTCAAAAATACACAAAATCGCCACCACAAAAATTCAACTTACGAACAGGTAGATTCGAACATATTCATATACATTTAATTCACACCTAATTTAGGTTGCTCTTCCGTTCTTATAGGATGAGAAAGGAGAAGGAGGTATTTGCGACAATTAAACAGAGAAAAGTGTTATATTTGGGAGGGGAAAAGTATCAAATACTCCAAGTTATTATGCAAGGAAAAATCAGAGGAAAGAGATCATGATCCATAAGGAGAAGACAAAACTAAGAACTTGAGGGAATGGTATGACTGCAATCATAACCAGCTAATTAGATCTGCGGTCTCGAAAGTGGAAATCGCCTTAATAAAAGGGCACCTGAAAAAGAAAAAGAAGTTAAAAATGATTCCCACTGGTGTCTAAACGCACCAGCGTTTTTAAAATTATTTTACAGCCATACATTTCCAAATTTAAAGGTGTTAGCTGTTTGTACGATAACAGTATAAGGTTGTTAGGCTATACATATCAAAATATTTCATAATTCTTGCTATTTAAACCATATTTACATCAATTCTTTTCTATTGAACATTTCTGTTCAAAATGTACAATGAAAATAAAACTATTTTTAGTGCATAAAATTCTTCAAAATTTTTTCATTTGCAAGTTTTTAGTGCATACTTTCCTCATATATATCTTGAAACGCGAAATAAAAATATGGATTCTGAAAATACGACTTGAAACATTAATGGTGCAAAAACGCACCATTGGGACGATGTATGAAGAGATATAAGGATTGCATCATCTTTCGTATTATTTGAAACCAGTTTAGACGCGTCTGTTAGGTGAATTTCCGAACGAATTTAGTCATTTATGGAATACTGCGTTAAGAGTGTGTTTTTGTGCAAAATGTCTCGGTTTCTCACAAAAAGGGAATTAGATGCTTCTCTAGAAGAAATTGTTAATGAACTGGAAATAGAGAGAAAGGGAGGTAATTCTTATATTATTTTGTTGTGGTTTAATAGTATATTATTCAACAAGCGTATAATGGTGGTTGTTCCCCACGAAGAAGAAGTTGCAACACGAGCGAACGAAGCGAGCGAGTGTTGTAATCTGAGTGGGTAACATCCATTATACGCAAGTTGAATACTATACTTTATCTACAACTATTTAATTTTGAAAAAAAAATCAAAAAAAGGAAAAAAAATAAACTTGATAGACATTTCAGACATAACCTCAATATAAGAAAGCTGTCATTTCTGTTAATATTTTATTTTTTGATTAGTAGGCCATGTCAGAACTGTGGAATAATGGCTTCATTATTCAACACTTTATCAGTCATGGGTAATGCGTGTCATTACCCGTCAAAAATCAAATGAATAGATAATTCAATAGTTGTAGATAAAATTTATTTTTATACGAAATTGACTTTAGCCGTCGTGGATGCTGTATATATTCCTCCTCCGGTTGACTACCTAACAGATGAGGAGTGTATAGACATCGAAAATTTAACGTCTATGAATTGTCCTCAGGACATAGACATCGCCGGTACTTACGAGGTACAAGTACCCAATGCAGACGAATACAATTCCTCACACGATGAGTTTTTCGCGGTGAAACAACGCCGTCTTACGAAGGAAAAAGAAAATAGATTTGATATAAAATAGAAAAAAAGTCAGATCGATTACACACACTCCGCATTATCAATCGAATCTTTAGATCATGATGTTCTTCAAGAAAAACTTGTGGAAAAGACGCCTTTGGAATTATTTTTTTTATATTTCGATGATGAAATGCTAAATTTAATTATTAACTTTTCTTTAAAATACGCACACGACAATAATCGACCAAACTTTCGTTTCGACAAAGAACAATTATTAAAATTTTTAGGTATTGTTTTACTTTCTGGATATCACACATTACCAACAATTCCTATGTTTTGGTCTAATGAAGAAGACAAAGGGGTCGAAATTGACAAAAAAACCATGAATCGGAATACATTTCAGAACATAAAACAAAACCTTCGTTTATCAGATAACAGTCTATTAGATCCATCTGATAAATTTGCAAAAATATGACCATTCCTTCATTATTATTATTATTACTATTATTATTATATTTATTTCACTTTGAACCTTACGCTGGAGTCGCAATGAAAACAGGAAAATCAAAATTAGGCTTGGGTGGTGAAGTAGTTATGTAATTACTCTCTGTAGTGAAAAATCCTCATGTTCATCGGATATTTTTTGACAATTTTTTTTCATCGTTTGATTTGTTTGTTGAAATGAAAAATAAAGGTTTTTTTGCTACCGGTACTGTACGCGATAACAGAACGAAAAATTGTCCGTTAGAAAACATAAAATGTACTTTCAAGAAGGAAAGGGGTTTTTTTGATACAGCTTATGATACCTGTTCAAAAATTTCTTTAGTACGATGGAATGATAACTCCGTTGTCACTGTAATTACTAACCATTTGAATGTGGAGCCAATACAATCAATTAAGAGGTACAACAGAAAGAAAAAAAAGGAAACACTAGTTAATCAACCTTATGCGGTATCAGAATATAATAAATTCATGGGTGGTGTAGATTTACACGATAACGGAATAGCCAACTATAGAACAAGAGCATTAGGAAAGAAGTGGTGGTGGCCACTATTTATTAATTCATTGGATAGTGTCATAATAAACGCGTGGAAATTATACAATACTGTCAATAATACTAAAATGGCACAATTGGATTTTAAATCACATATTGCAGTTCGGCTAATGAAATATGAAAACGCAACACCTAATACTGAACGAAACACGAGGTCAAACAGAGAATTTGAATCTTCCAATGACCATTTAATAAAGAATCACGACTCTAAAGCTCGTAGAAGATGTAAAATATACCATAAACATACTATACATATGTGTAGTAAGTGTAATGTTCATTTACATGTAGAGTGTTTTACGGACTATCACAATAAATCTTTATACTGTTAATCCCATTGGTGCGTTTTTGCACCAATTTTACTTTAAATATTTTTTATTAATAATTTTTTATTAAACTTTATACTAAAGTTGGTATTTGTTAGTATAATATTGTATTAGTATTATTATTTATTTACGACTAATTTATTACTTAGTTAATAAATGATAATCAAAATTTTTGTGTGCTGTTGTTCACTTATCTTACCAGTGGTGCATTTTTGCACCATCTCATATCTCAAAAACAACTTTTTGTTTCAAACACCTCTGTACATTTTTCATCATTCCATCTTATCTTAAGGAAAAGTATAAAAAATCATTTTTTTAAACATAAAGCAGCTTGGGACTAAATGGGTTAATTGATACAGTTTCGTTTTTTCTGGAGTGTTATTTACAGTTTCAAGTAGACATAATGTAATACACAAAAATGTAACATGCTGCCTACATCTACGTTTATGTCAAGTGATTTAATAAAACTTATGACTAGGGCTCGGATTTTATGCAAAATGCATCTTCTTTATTTTCTGGAATATTTTTTTCAAAATTAGTTTCTGGGCGAATTACATAAAAAGAAGGCAGATGGTACAATAAAAAAATTGCATATTTTGCATATTTTTACAATTTTTTTGATTGTTGCATAAATTAGCTTTTTACTGCATATTTTCGCATATTTTGTCATTTTACTAGATTTGTTTCTTGTTGCTTAATAAAATAAAATATAATGACTACGTGATTTTTAAATATGTGAACATACCTTTTAGTTTAAAGCACAATACAGGATATTTTTTGATTGCGGGTTGGTTTCTTGTTTACAACGATTCACAGAAACATGCGGGGAATCCCTAGCGTTGTTGAGTTTAAGTTTAAGGAAATCCCCTACCATAGTTACTGTGGCTGTGTTCAGTGTGTGTGAACATTAATCTACCAATCTATAACAACAATGCCTAAAGTGTCTTGTGTCCCAGTGGATAAAAAGTTATCCCGAACTAAATTTAAATAATGAGGAACTATTTTGTAAAACTTGTCGTAACGTTTTAGCCAACGATTTAAGTTAAAAATTAGAGTTTTCAGAGGAGTTGCCAATGGTTTGTTCCGAAATTGTATTTCTCATAGACTTTTACAGTAGGAGTTAAAAAAAATGGGAAACTGTTCAATTAAAACTATATTAAATTTGATGTCCCATCTTCTTGGAATATGTTTTTACATATGTTTCTAGACAATCGACAATAAAAAATACGAATCTGTTTTATAGTCTCAGAATTAAATTTTCATCTGTTAGAGTATCTATGGCTAACTTTTTTAATTATTTTTTTTAAAATAACGTGTCAGAGGAAGAAAATAAATGGAACAATATGTGAAAAGTGCAAAACATATAAAAAAATGTGATAGAAATAGATTGATAACAACTATGAAAAAAGTATATGTTTGCATATTTCCACATATTTTTGCATATTTTTTGCATATTTTGAATAAAAAGCTTGCATATTTATGCGCATATTTCCTATAATCTGACTGCATAAAAATTCGAGCTCTACTTATGACTAAGGAAAGGTAATGGTTAAAGCAGAAATAAGCATCTGTTACTAATGCTACAAATCGTTTATTATATATATCGTTTACATACTAATTTTAAGAACCATTCGGATAATTAAATAGTAAATTGAATTAAAAATATAGAGAGGTCCGGTTTCAGAAATATTATTATATTGAACATCCAGCATCATTTGGCCAATCGCAAACATTTAAATCGGTGTTGAAATGTAGTCCAGGTGGGCACGGCATGTCATGTACAATGTCGTAATTATCACATTTGCAATATCTTTCACAATCTTCGGGATGTGCAAAGAAAACGGGGTATTCTCCAGTGGGGTTCGGACATGATGCTGTTGAACATTTTCCAGCGCCTGAATCAGTCGTTGAATCTGTTGGGGTAGGATCTGTTGGCGTTGGATCTGTTGGGGTGGGATCAGTTGGTGCTTCAGTAGGTTTTTCAGTTGGTTTCTCAGTAGGTGTTACAGTTGGTGTTAAGGTGGGCGTTTCAGTAGGTGTAGGAGTTACTACTGAGCCGTCGCATCCAGCGTTGTTGGGCCAATCGCAAACATTTAATTCGGTGTTGAAATGTAATCCATCTGGACATGGCATGTCATGAACTGTACCAAAGTTATCACATTTACAATATCTTCCGCAATCTTCGGGATGAGCATGGAAAACAGGGAAATCACCTGGAGTGTACGGGCAAGTTACTGATCCACACTTTCCAGAATCAGGGGTAGATGTTGGTGTTTCAGTTGGCGTTTCAGTAGGTTTCTCAGTTGGTGTTTCTGTTGGTGTTTCAGTGGGTGTTTCAGTAGGAGTTTCAGTGGGCGTTTCAGTAGGAGTTTCGGTAGGTGTTTCAGTAGGTGTAGGCGTCTCTACCGAGCCACCTTCGCATCCAGCGGTCTCGGGCCAATCACAAACATTTAAGTCGGTGTTGAAATGTAATCCAGGTGGACATGGCATATCATGAACTGTACCGAAGTTATCGCATTTACAATATCTTCCGCAGTCTTCGGGATGAGCATGGAAAACGGGGAAATCACCTGGAGTAAATGGACAGGTTACTGAATCGCACGCTGAAGAATCAGGAGGAGATGTTGGTGTTTCAGTAGGTGTTTCAGTAGGTTCTTCAGTAGGTTCTTCAGTAGGTTCTTCAGTAGGTTCTTCAGTAGGTTCTTCAGTAGGTTCTTCAGTAGGTTCTTCAGTAGGTTCTTCAGTAGGTTCTTCAGTAGGCTCTTCAGTAGGTTCTTCAGTAGGTGCAGGCGTCTCTACTGAGCCACCCTCGCATCCAGCGTTCTCGGGCCAATCGCAAACATTTAAGTCGGTGTTGAAATGTAATCCAGGTGGACATGGCATATCATGAACTGTGCCGAAGTTATCGCATTTACAATATCTTCCGCAATCTTCGGGATGAGCATGGAAAACGGGGAAATCGCCCGGAGTAAATGGACAGGTTACTGAATCGCATACTGAAGAATCAGGAGGAGATGTTGGTGTTTCAGTAGGCCCTTCAGTAGGTTTTTCAGTAGGTTCTTCAGTCGGTTCTTCAGTAGGTTCTTCAGTCGGTTCTTCAGTAGGTGTAGGGGTTACAACTCCACCCCCATCACACCCAGCATTATCGGGCCAATCGCAAACACCCAATTCTTGATTAAAATGTAGGTTATCTGGGCAGGTAAAAAGTACCGGCGAACCCCATACGCAATAATAAAACTTAGTACAATCACTATCATCAATAAGAAAATCTACGTAGTCACCATGGGTGCCTGGGCAGACACCAACGGGCTCTGCGCCAATTCCAATAATACCAAATATAAATAAAATAGCTATCGCTACAATTAAAAAATATTATTAAAAATTATAAATGATATATAAAAATGTTCCTACCTTTCATTGCTGTTGTTAATTGTTAAACGGAAGTTATACTCTGATTTGAACGGGGAACGAGCAGAATTTATATACCTCCAATTATTATCTTGTTATTTGATCAACTTTGTAATCTATATCCGCTTTTTTTAATTATTACTCATTATTTGTGAAAACAATATCTTGGAAATATAAGTATATGAAGACCTTAGATTACTCTCAATTCGTTGTCAATGTCTTTATATACACTTGAAATAAGGGAGTACGAAGAAATGTGATTCACTAGGAAACTATTAAATCTATTAATTTATAAATGTATCATTAAACACACACTTCAAATCTGATTACATCATCTTTTTCAATATTGTATTTAAATACATCTAAAAGCAGAGTAAATTTAAAACTTTTCTTATTAATTTTGTCGATTCGTTGAATTTCGTAGATATATTATTGCAACTATTTTTTTAATATTAAAATTTTTTTAATTTAATATATATGAAATTATCTTCGATTTATCAGTACCTTGATCACAAACCTTTGAAGTATTACAAGTAATTATGTTAATGTTATCACAGGAAATCTTTTCAAGTGTTTTTTTAATTATTATCGGAAGTAGTGAGATGGTGTTATACGGGTGTCCTAAATAATTTCACTTCCAATTTATTAATCAGAAAATTACCTCGTTTTTCTTTCGAAAAACCATTAAATTTTTAACAATTCTATATTAAAATTAACATTTATTATAGATTACATCGTAAAATTAAGTTATTTAGCGCCAAATAAAAAAGTGAGAATAAGGTTGAGTGATTAAAACACCTATATATCAAACAACAAGTAATCTTGATCTGTATTACTACATGTTATAACATGTTTTTACTTTGATTTTAATTGGATAATACTATTTACTGCTGTTTGAAGTGCCCATGTAGACGCGTACGTGATTTTAACAAATCAATATTCAGATTCCTCTCCCGCTTGTTCCTATTCAATATATGTGCGTGTTTACGAGAAGATCCACTTTGTTTGTCGAATGGAGAGGGTCGTTCGTTTTTAGGATGATTATTACGATTTCGGTTTGGGTAGAATCTCAACTCAAATTTGTAACGTCGTGGTATTGAAGTTAAATTTTGTTTTGAAAAGCGAATGAAAAAAATTTAATTCAATATGCATATTATAATGCACTGATTGTGGGGTACATTTTTTTCTGTACTCTGTAAATTTTTGTGGAAAACGCACAAAGAATGAAGAGATGAAATCGATTGGAGCTTCACAATGTATACGTAAGTAACTTATTTATAACTAATTACAATATTCAAAAAATACGCTAAAATAATGCCAGAAAATTTTATTTTTCATTAAAAAACTTATATTTAGTATAGATTTTATATTATTGAAAAATTTTCTTATATATTTATTTGGTTTATTGCGTCATCTGCCTTTCGATTGCCAACTGCCAGCCTTTGCGATCTTCCAAGTCTCCTGGTACCAGGTTTCTTTCGGACATCGTCTTTGGAATTCCTGATTCCTAAATAGTTTTTGGACATCTCTTGGATCTTCTTTTGGTTGTACCCTAATGGTTCTCAGGGTTGAGAAACCAGTTATAGCTACATTTAGTACTCTTCAACATTTAAAATTCGGTACCTTAGTTCAAAATTGGAACACATGCGAGAAAAAAATCAAAATAGTGTTTCTTAGCTCTTGTTGCGTATAACCACCTTCCATTTTATTTGTGTATCAAGTATTTTAAAACACAAAAAATAATTTTCAATTATTAATTTCAATCAATTTCCTCATTTATGGCCATCAAAACCGCTGTTATGGCCATAAAAGTTTCCAGTTATGGCCACCATAATTTGTTTGCGTAGAAATCAATCGCAATAAAGTATTTTTATTGTTTGTATGTATGTTTGATTTTATTAGGCACATAGATACAATAAAAGTTAAGGAGATGAATACATTTATTGTTTTTCAAATATGTCTACAGCACTGCGGAAAACAAGCGTCATCTTTCGACCAACATTTTTCAGTTTGGGTTCTGGAAGCGTTCCAAGGATTTCTTCAATGGCACATTTGTCATTGTCTAACACTTTGAAATGTGTTTTACAATTAGTCTGATCTAAGCTTTTTAGACATTGCATTTCAAACTCATCGTCATCCAACACACACAAAATTTTTGCAACATACTCCTGTAGTCTTGATTTTCTGTCTCAATATCATCTAAGCTGCTCTCGCTTTCATTCTACTCTTCTTCCTCTAAACAGTTTTCCTTTGTCTTCTTTGCCTTCTGCGCTTCCTTTACTTTATTTTTCTGGATTTCCCTTTTCTTCTTTCTTTCCATTTTCAGCTCTTCTTGAATTTTCTTCTCTTTCTCTTTGAATTCAAAATATTCCACTCATTTGTTAGACGTAATATTGCTTGGAGTATATTCTTTTTTCCTTTTTCGTACTGTCGGTTTATGGTGTGTTAAGAAATGACATCACTTTTAGCTCTGCTGTTGAAGTACAAATCCTATGAGTTCTCCTTTTGGAGCAAAACAGAAACAAGTCTCATCCATATTAAAGATGCGCTCTGGATCCCTTATTGCTAAAATTTCTTCTTCTGTGAATAAAATTTCAACTTCCTTAAACCAGTTCCGTATTTTTTCCTTAGTACCATTGCCCCTTGCCTTGTTGACATATTCTGAATGCTTCTGGGTGTCTATTTAGGAAAGAAGTAAGCCACTTTTTACCAGGCGTATTCTTGGAAAATGGAGTTTTCAAAATCTATTAAAGCATCAAATTTAACAGAATAGCACATCAGCTAAAACATGGAAACCATTTTCAAATTGTTTCAATATCGGAAACGTCATCTAACACCGTCTGTGATGAATTAGGGTCTGACAAAGCCCTCTAATGCACTTACTTTGCAACTACTGTCTATTAAGATCTTAATGCGCAACGACTTCTTCTGAAATGGCCATAAATAGTATTCCTCTAACAGAAAAGAAAAACAGCCTACTAGAGTGTGTATAGTATGTAGCAATAAAAAGGATGACAAAGGAAAAAGAAAGAGGAGAGAATCTCATTATTATTAACCTTGTAATTACCTTGTTACCTTGTAACGCAACATGTTATGTGTTTCACCATACTTCCAGGTTTACCATACAGAATTAAACTATTGATTACTTCAATTTTTCTACGTATTACTTTCTTGTATACATATATTTTTTCAAATACGTATCTAACTATGCATCATTTTTACATTTATATTGTTATTATCATTTCTGTCCATCTTGTAGAATAAAACTCAAAACTGCACTTTTTCAATGGATTTCATTTCATAATTCGACCGGTTTCGATTTAGTTCAAAATCATCTTCAGGAACAACATCAGTTTTAATTCACCAACACTGAAATCAGTCCTACTACCTTCATTTCATTGACATGTTGGAAAAATGAAATTAAAAAGTACAACTAGTTATAATAATATTAAAAACTTTAACAAATTAAATACTACTAGTTATTTTTGATACAAGATAGCGAAATGACACTTTTGCATTTGAGAACGAAAATTGTTAAAGCTCGCAAAAAAAATCATTCGAGAATACAAAAGAATTTCGCTGTGGTGTATACAACAATATTTTTTCGAAAACTGCGTGTTCCAAAGTTTATAAATTAATAAAACGATCCAATTCAGTATAATGACATTTAGAATTCATTTAATATTATGTCCATCATCTAAACATCACATTGACATAACCTCATATATTGAACAAATGTACTGTTATAAATTTACATTTAAACATGAAATGATAAAACAATTAAATGTTTGTTATTTTATGTTAATAATTTGTTCATAACAATAAATTAACAATTAGTAGTATCAAATTCTTTGATTATCGTAGCTGGACGTAAAAAACTTTTATCTACGACTGCTTGGATAAGTCATCATTACCACACTCATTTGAGGTGATTTGAGTTACGTAATGAAGTTCATTACCGCACTAGTTTCATTACGTAACGCATTTTTAGCCAACGAGCAACAATTCAAAAGAAAAAGTGCTACCTATTTAAAGAGAAACAACACTATTTATTAATAAACATTAATTGTTATGTTTTTACATTTCGAAACACTTATTTCAGATGAGTAAACATGTTATTGAAACTGGCATTAATTCAAAATTGTCAACAATCGTTTCAAAATATTTTTATAAATATCAAAACAGACCTTTTTAAGGAAATTGATTTTTAAAGAATTTTTAGCAATTGTAGATAAAATGTTGTATATCACACGTGGGCTAGAGCATAATTACAGTACTCGTGTGATTACACGACTCGATTTTTGTAACATGTCAATGAAATGAAGGTAGTAGGACTGATTTCAGTGTTGGTGGAAACCGGTCGAACTGAAATTATAAAATAAAATCCATTGAAAAAGTGCAGTTTTCAGTTTCATTTTATTTTTACATTTTTTTGAATTAAAAAACAACATTAATTTATGAAAATAAAGTTTATTTTTTAAACAGACTTTTGTTGGTTCCTAATTTGTCAAAATTTTTGTTCTTTTTATTAAGAAAATAGTTTTTTTTTTAGTTCATTTATCTGAAAAAAAATCGGTCTTTAAAGGGTTAATTTACAGTGACACAATAAAGTCTACATACAGCCCGGAAAATGATAATATCTCAGCTCTCGAAATGTAATTCAATGAAATTTTTTAACAAAACATGTAAGAAGTCCATATTATTTGCATATTTTTCATTAAAACTATATAGGTTATTATTAATCAAGGGGAACACAAAACATAATCATATCCTTAACTCAAAAAAGTCTGCATATAGTCCTAAAAAAAAGTCAATCAGTGTCCGTTATAGCTCAAAAAGAAATATACAACTATCTAGCGCTGAATAACAAATAAAACTAGACTAACACTAGCACTAGACGTGGAACTAAAAACATTCCGTTTAGCCGTGCGTCTCTTAAAACGGTAAACTTATTAGTATTTAGTATTAGTGTTAGTTCTAGTTTTACACTAACACAATCACTAGAACTAACACAAGACCTAGAACTAACACAAGACCTAGAACTAGAATGATTCGGGTTTAGCAGTCTTGAGAGACGTGCGGCTAAACCCGAATGTTTCTAGTTCTAAATCTAGTGTTAGTTCTAGTTTTGCACAAGAGCTAACACAACACCTAGAACTAGAATAATTTGAGTTTAGCAGTCTTGAGAGACGTGCGGCTAAGCCCGATACTTTCTAGTTCTGGGTCTAGTGTTAATTCTAGTTTTGCACTATTACTAGAACTAACACAAGACGTAGAACTAGAATAATTCGGGTTTAGCCGTCTTGAGAGACATACGACTAAATCTACTGCTGTAGCCTTCACTTCGTAGCACAAGTCGAACAATTTCGACTTTGTATTAAAATAATATAGACTTCTAATATCCTTCGTTTAAAAAATTTATTGAATTACATTTCAGGAGCTGAGATATTATCATTTTCTGGGGTGTATGTAGACTTTAAAATTGATAAAATTCTCCATATTATTCAAATAATTAAAAAAATATAGGAAAAAGTAAAAACTTTTTATGAGAAATACTAAAATATTTAATTGAATTTAATATTTATTTTTTTTGGAAAATAACCTATGTTAAAATGAAAGTTTTAAAGGATTTTTATTTAATTTTTTGATTTTTGTAAATTTTAAAATGTTTTGTGTTTAAGAAGAAAAGCTTAAACTTATACCTAATCCAACATACCTTAACATTTTTCCATCAATTTGTAAATTAATTTAAGTAAGTTTACTTTTTCAACTCCGATACCTTCATTTTTTACCGTTTTCGTTATATATGTTCCGTTTAACGTTTTTGTTAATTCTTCTGTTTTCCTATATTAGATGAAACATTAGTTTCGAAACATGTTTACTAATTAAATTAAATATTTTAGTATTTCTCATAAAAAGTTTTTACTTTTTCCTATATTTTTTTATGGAGACTTTATTGTATCACTGTATGTGTAATTTATTGATGTTTGTGATAGAACTTGTCTTGTTTATTTTATAGCTACTTTCTTTTCTGAGATTTATTCTCTTATATCTTCATTTCAATATACAGTGTGTTAATTAATTATCGTACCCGACGTCATCATTGCAAGTATGCAACCAATATCACAATATTGCTATTGCAATACGCGATTTGCGTATGGTGCGTATTGCTCTGTGATATTGGTTGCATACTTGCAATGATGACATCGGGTACGATAATTAATTAACACACTGTATGTTAAGTTTTCAATATTAAGCCATA